AGTAAAATTGATATTCATAGAACTTTAATATGAACTCATAATTGCCATATTTCAGCCTCAAAGATGCAACCTACTTTAATTCCAATTTGCAAAATTTTGTAAATAAAAATTAGTAAAATAAAAGAGTAGCCTGTAGGACTGAGAGTAAATTTTTGAGAGTTTGTTTTGTTTTTTTTTAATCATTTCACTTCAAAGCTAGATAATAATGCCACAAGGGGTTACTGAGTATTAGAGAATATAAGAAAAACTACTATTAAGGAGGAAGAACAATAAAAGAACAAGAATTAAGAAGACAGAAGATAACAATTGACATTGCATTTAAATTTTTGAAGATTAAAAGCAATAAACTCACTAGGATGCAAGGGGTTACTGAATGTTAGAGATTATGAGAAAAACTAGTATTAAGGAGAGAGGACAATAAAAGAACAAGAATTACATAACGATTGATGTTGCAGTTAAATTTTTGAAAATCAAAGTTGACTGGGAGGCAAGAAGCTGGAAGAGAGTTCCACAATCGAGAAGTGCAACAGAAGAAACTGTTAGCATAGAACTTACAGTTATAGCTAGCCATTTCAACTGTAAAATGTTGAGACTGTCACTTTGAAGCCTTTTACCTTCAGCATCTTATGTAAAAGTTATCAGAATTTAGAAATAACAAAATTATTTTATCTTTATTCAACACCTTAATTCAGCATAATCTTTCTTCATATACACAACCAATCACCGTAGTTTGTTTACATTTATTTTGTGAGCTTTTTTTATTTTCTTTTAAAATCACTATTATTTTATGATCCCTTCATATAAAGTGACTCTTAAGACATTAGGGAACTTGACTATGTAATATTTCCAATACGTCACAGTACATGTGCTCGAAAAAGAAAAAAAAACATATGAGAAATGCACACCATACCATGACCTGATTAAGTTTTAATTAAGATTTAATTAGATGATATCATTGTAGTTGTGATGAAAAACAAAATTAAACATTTAATAAAGAAATGTTTTTTTAAACCTTTCACTCTGTTCGATATTTAAATTTAACTTTAAAGGAGTTGTTTATTTAATTTTTAATCACATTTAACTACAGTAGTTACTACTTGTTACTTCAGGTTGTTTATGATTCACCAAGACAGACACACATACACTGCACCTTATTTATATAGAAGCAAATGAAATTATTTCAAAAGGATGGTAGGAAAAGAAATCAAGCAAGGCAATAAAGCCACTAAGATGCAAGGGGTTACTGTGAGTGAAAGAAACTGAGAAAACATTATTGAGGAAGGAGGACAATAAAAGAACAGGATTTAAAAAGTGATGATTGATGTAGCATTTAAGTTTTGAAAGATTGTAGTTGACAGGAAAGCAAGAAGTTGGGAGCGAGTTCCACAGGCAAGAAGTGCAAGAGAAGAAACTTTACTACTTAATGTATAAAATGTATGTGCATGTATAGGGTCAGAATATTAGTATTCCAATTATGATGTTGTACCCAAACAAATGAAAATAGAAAATAAGTTAGAGAGTTGTCTCCCTTAATCACTGCTGTGATGTTTTCAAAAAAGCAGGAGACTGTTTTCTTTCTCACTTATATTTCTCAGCCTCAAAATCACATCTTATTTTAATCATCTTTGTTTTCCTCTTTAGTTTTACCTTTGAATTTAGAATTAATAAAAGAATCTTTTTCTTTGACATCCTAATTAATTATAATTTTTTTTATCATGTCACCCCAATCTTTGAAATTTCAGATTTTATCTTTTGTCTTCATTATCTTCTGTCTTCTTAATTGTTGTTCTTTTCTTGTCTTCTCTCTTTAATAGTATACTTTTCTCATATTCTCTAATATTCAGCCACCCACTTATGTCTTAGTGGCTTTATTGCCTTGCTTGGGATGAAATGATTAAAAAAAATCAAGGTGATAATGACATTATGACACAAGGGGTTAGAAGGAGTGAAAGAAAATGAGAAGACAGAAGTGAGGAGAAAGGACAATAAAGAACAGGATTCAGGAAGACAGAGGATGGTGATTGATGTTGTATTTAAGTTTTTGAAAATTGTAGATAGCAGGAAAACGAGAAATCAGAAGGTTAGTTCAACAAGATAGAAGTATGAGAAAAGAAACTAAGAGAATAAAACAGATGTTTGCAGCCATTAAATGGGGAGACTTAGTTCTCAATATTGTAGCATGCTTAAATTCGTGCAGTCAAAGCACCAAGGCAATTTTTGTTTTTCTAATTTTTATATGGCCTCCCTAAATGACAAACAAATCCACTTATATATGCCAGGAACATTGAAGCCAGGTACACTGATGACATTTTCCGTCTCTTAAAGGACTTTAATCAGCTCCAAAAATTTTGAAAGTAAATTCATCATTAGTTTTACTTATGAACTTAGAATTAATAAAAGAATCTTATTCTTTGACATCCTAATTAACTATAATTTTTTTTTTATCATTTCACCCCAAACAAGGAGATAATGCCACTAGGATGCAAGGGGTTACCGGGAGTGAAAGACAATGAGAAGACTTTAGTGAGGAGAAAGGACAATAAAGGAACAGGATTCAGGAAGACAGAAGATGGCGATTGATCTTGTATTTTCTAGTGAATTACTGTAGAGGGCAAAGAGGCCAAAGGTTGCATGCATTTTTTTGCAACACTAGAAGAAAATGGCTTACCATTACCATCGAGGGATACTCTCTCATGGAAGTATCTTTTCAAATATGTAAATTTTGGATGTCAGTGAGGAGATCACAAAGGGAATAATAAAATGACAGGCAGAATGGTTACTGCTGTATTCAGTGGGAGACATTGGAAGGGAGTTCAATAGGCAAGAAAAAAAACTATTAGAATAAAACTTAGGGTTACAATCTAACAATTTTAACAATAGCATTTTCTACTCTTGTTCATTTTTTATCAATTGATAGTTTAGGTGTTAGTACTATCAAAAATGTAGTATAAATGATTTTATTGTAGGTTATAAATAATAACTTGATAATCTCTAAGTATTTTTTATTTTTGTTTGTGTATGAATTTTTCATAATTTGTTTTGCTTTCTAGTATTTTTGTTTACTTAAAATTTCATATATTTAAAAACAGTTACCTTTTTTTTTTTTAAGCTTCTAAAACACACAATGTGTATATATTTATATATGTATATTTTATATGTTCCATAGCTAGGGATGATATTTAGGACAAGACCTTTGCCTCTTCTCAAAATGCTTTTGTGGCAAATAGCCTCTGACAAACAGGAGAATGGATGAAGGTGGACAACTGGTGCTTTATAACCAGCTGCTTCAGGTAGATGGAGCTGAACAAGGAAGGCGGTCTATGTAGCAGGAGGAAAACCTTGATTCTAAACCAGGGGTCGGCAACTCATTCGACCACGCGGGCCAGATCATGTTATAATGACGGGTCGCGGGCCAGACGAAGGTCATTAATGAAAAATTAAGGAAAATTACATATGCAGACCCCTGTCAACCTAAATATTTAAAACCATAATGAAAATAAACATTGAGAAATCAGAAAAACAAAAGAAAATCTAAAATTAAAAAACAACTAACAAAAATTACATTTCCTCAAGGAACGTCAAAATACTTCAAAGTGAAAAAAATCAACCGAAGTGAAATGGATGAAATTATGACGTGTAGGTTTGAAACTGTTATTGAAAATTGTTCCACAAACGAACACACACACACAAACAAAAACATATCAAACCCAAAACGAAGTACAAACCCATACATACAAGTACAAATAGTTTCAAACATATCATCTTACATTACATACACATGTATGTATAATGCACGTATGTTTAACTGTCTTTAGATTTCTGCTACCTCGCATGTCAGTCCCTCCCTGGCCTCTTTCACTTTATCATTCGTTTCGCTTCTGTTATCTTTTAATGTAGCCAAGGGTCATAACAAATATGTATCCATTATTTGAAATTAAACGTAGGCAACTTGGTAAAATAAGTCTCATGAAAGATAACTGGCAGATAATGTAATATTTTTAGTGCACTGAGATGTGTAGACATTCTATGGAAAATGACATAACAAATTTCATTTGAAGGTCATCTCTCATGTTAAAAATAGAGTCATTGGTAATCAGGCTCGTGGGCCGGTCAAAATGCCTTCACGGACCGGATCTGGCCTGCAGGTTGCCGACCCTTGATTCTAAACCTCTGTTACCTTGAGGTCATATCCAACGAAACATGAAAAAGGCTATGGAAGTAAATCCAAACAGAAAATCCAGAGAGGAGTACCGAAAGGCAGTTGGCTGTCAACACTTGACAATTTTCCAGCAACTCCTGCATCCAAAGTGGCCCCAAATATAATGCCCTGTATTTCTTTTGATCTTGTTGGTACAGCCAAGAGGTGCATGTTATGTATTCTGGGCAGCATATGGTTTCCTTATACCATCGCCCAGGCCCGAGTGCTGGAGAGGTCGCTCCCATCTCACCACCAAAGGATATCGCCTATTATCCAGTTCACACTCGTCCCAAGCAAAAGTTTATCCCTTTGTTTCTTGTTTAGGTTTGGTTTTCCAGTTCCTTCTAAAGTCTTTTTCATACTCTTTCACTCCCAGTAGACCCTTGTGTCTTAGTGGCATTACTGCTTTGTTGGGGAGAATTGAGTAAAAAAAAACAAACAATGATAGAAAACTGGGAGCTATCTTTATCTCGTGAATTAAACGGATGCCTACACTGATGATGAAACAGTTAATCTTATAGAATAAGCATTTGTTTCTAGCAATTAATGAAGCCAAAATGGTTAAATCCGACGGATTTAATCAGCTATGAGTGATTATTGAAAAAAATGAAAACATTAACAATCAAATTAAGAAAAATTAAAAAAACAAATAACATTAATACAAAAAAAACAAATCCAATTTTTAGGTAAATAAGATGATTTATTTTACCGTATAACGGCAGAGAAAATTCATAAAAAACAAAATTCAGTTTTGAATTCTAATAAAAATGATGATCAGCAATGTTTATAAAATGGTTCCAAATCAGGTGATGTTGTCATTCAACAAAACATTTTTTGCAATATGTCTTTGGAGTAAAGAACGTAGATATTTCATTTGTTGATTTGGTTGTAAAACGTTAAGCATGGAACATTGGACCTAAAAAGATAAAAAAAATTCTAACTTTTAAGATCAAATAGAAGATTGTTGTGAGAAATTAATCATAGAACAGGTTTCACTTCACAAATAATATATGCATTATTTATTTTCTATACATTATTCTGTAAAACCAATACAAAAGAAATAATTAAACTATTGTAATCAATGATATATTTTGTGATTTTTAAAATTTTATGCTTTGGTTATTGTTATAAGTAAATTTTAATTATCATTTAGTTAGTAAATTAGTCTAGATCCATTTTAGAGTTTGTACAGCCTAAGATGTTATTGTTGCTGTCGGCACCTGCTCACATTCAAACTTTGTGATCATCATCCTGTCTCCCTTATTTCCTTTCTTTTCCCTGGGGGTGACAGCAAAGATGGCCATTCACATGAATTTGATTTTGGTGGACAACTTTATGTGATGAAGAAGTTCACATATTTAGCAAGAAAAGCCTCCCCTGTGCCTCAAAAGGGATTGAGACAGGCAATGTCTATCAAACCAGGTTGCACTGGGCTGTCAGATGCTTGGTCTGTCAAGGTTTGCTTTGGTTACGCCAGCCCAACTGGCACTACCCTCTTCCACCCGTCTGGTCATTGAGATTATGTAGATCTTTGACTATGTCTCCTTTGGTGTCTCTAAGGGTTGGTCACATTCAGTCTGGTGTTTCCGCTTCAACCCTACCGCCATAGGTGACCCTACAAGAGTTGAAACTCCAAACAGCTTCACTCTTGGGACAAGTAGACATCTACCCTGACAAGTAACGACCACACACACATATATATATATATATATATATATATATATATATATATATATATCACACACACTGCGTGCCAAATTATTATTGAGATAACTTTTTTTTAATATTTCAAAAGCCGTCCAATCAATTCACACAAAATGTTCACACAATGTTGGCAACACTGACCTGTGCAATCACTGAAATTTTTGTACTGATCTGCTCAATGTAAACAAACTGGTGCCATATTTGTTATCTGCACGGTGATTTGAGCGTGCCAAATTATTAGAAAAGTGAAAAAATTTAGTGAAAAGATGGGCCGTAAAAAGCAGTTTAAGTGATGCTGAAAAGAAAACTATCACCTCAGAACTCTCAAAAGGTAAATCTACCCTAGAAATTTTAAAATGATAGGGAGGTGTCATCAAACAGTGAAAAAAGTTCACCGCCGACCCTACACAAGTACGCAAAAAGGGCAGATAAAGGCAAAAAAGGTTATTTCATGTCGTCTCATGTCACGACTTAAACGAGAGGCCACGAAGAACCCGGGACTTACCAGCCAAGAGCTTTTCAGTCGCATTGGGGATCCTACTGTGTCTAAAAGTACTCGGTGTCAGTATCTGAGGGGAATAGCAACAACAGTCAAACCTGTATCGAAGTCCCCTTTGACGAGATATCACATTCAAAATCGATTGAAATGGGCCGAGGACAATATGAAGATTGACTTCTCTAAAGTTTTGTTCACAGACAAAACTCGAGCAACACTTGATGGGCCAGGTAGATGGTGCAAAGGCTGGGTAATGAATGGACAGAATCGCCATCAGCATTTGAGACGCCAACAAGGCGGTGGAGGCATAATGATCTGGGGTGGTATTATTGAAAAAACATTAGTGGGCCCATGTAGAGTACCAGATGGTGTCAAAATGACTGCTGATGCATACATAGCGTTTATGAAGAAGCATCTTGAACTGTGGATGAAAAGGCAAAGAGTTGCCTTCAGAAGGGCCATTGTTTTTATGCAAGATAATGCTCCCTCACATGCTGCTCACAAGACTACTGAATATTTGAAACAGTTAGGCTTCGATGGATCTCGAAAAATGAAGTGGCCAGCAAATTCTCCGGATTTGAACCCAATCGAAAACATTTGGAGCATCATGAAGCGAAGAGTATACGCCAACGGACGACAATTTAGGAGCTACTCCGAGTTGTGGGAAGCAATTCTTGACATATCTCACGGCATTACAGCAGATGACATCCTACAATTAACAAATTCTATGGATCGTCGACTTCTTCAAGTAATTTCAAAACAGGGAAAGCACATTCCCTATTAATTTGTTTAGAACTGTGCCTTTGTTTGTATCTGTTATTATTTGTTTGATTATCTTATTTATTAGCTTCTTTTGATCATAAATATTCACGTGAAACATTAATAAACGTTTTGTTTGCTCAATTCTGGGAATTTTACTAAACATTTCTAATAATTTGGCACGCTCAAATCACTGTGCTGATAACAAATATGGTGCCAGTTTGTTTACATTGAGCAGATCAGTACGAAAATTTCAGTGATTGCGCAGGTCAGTGTTGCCAACATTGTGTGAAAATTTTGTGTGAATTGATAATACGGTTTTTGAAATATTAGAAAAAAGTTATCTCGATAATAATCTGGCATGCAGTGTGTGTATATATATATATATATATATATATATAATACTGGAATATCTGAGTGAATAGTTTGTTATCAAATGTACCACTTTGACTTAATATTACTATAACAACAGTTAAGAAACTATACAATAATTATATCATTTGTCATTGAATATTACATATAGAATATGCTTGTTTATTGACTGCCTTTCATTTTTTTTAGTTTCTGGAACTTTCAATAAATTCCTTATGTTAGGAAGTATGGGTTGGTGGGTAATTTAATGAGTTTTTTTTTTTCCTTCTTATTTCTTCTCCTTTTTATTATTATTTCTATTTCTTTTTATCTTTATTATTTTTTATTTATTTCTCATGACAATAATATTATTTATTTATATATATTTAATATTTTATTTCTCAAACAAAATATTATTTATTTTCATATACAATAATATTCAATATTTATTTCTCATGACAATAATATTATTTTTTTCTATATTCAATAATAATTTTTATTTCTCATGACAATAATATTATTTATTTCTTTGAAACAATAATATTATTTATTTATATGACAATAATATTATTTATTTCTCATGACAATAATATTATTTATTTCTCATGACAATAATATTATTTATTTCTCATGACAATAATATTATTTATTTCTCATGACAATAATATTATTTATTTCTCATGACAATAATATTATTTATTTCTCATGACAAATAATTAATATTTCTAATGACAATAATATTATTTATTTCTCATGACAATAATATTATTTATTTTTTATTAGTTGATTAACAGTATCAGCCATTTTTCTCAAGACAAGCAATGTTTGTACAAAGATTTGTATTTTTTGATATTTTTTTATACTTGCAATTTTTAAACCTAACTTGTAGAAAACAGACAAACTGTTGAAATATTTTAATAAATAATTGTTAAACACTGTGTTTTTCTTAAGTGTTGTTGCAATACATCCGTTTGATGCCTTGGTATACATTATCAGTGATGTTTTTAGCCAAGGATCATTAGGAGTTTCAGGTCTTACATTATGCCCCCTTCTTCACAATAACCCAATTCATTCTGATTAGATATCAAATTACATGCCATCCATCAGCTACAACTATTCTCAGATTATAAGGTTGCCTAACACACTGTAACTCCTCTGGCCTTTATAGTCTAATCACAAACAATTTCTTGTTCATCAGCCACTTCACTCTTGCATAAAAAAAATTCATTAGAAAATAATAATAATAATAGGCTACAGTAAATAACCCATTCAGGACCACAGATTTGCTTTCGGGTCATTCCATGTCAATTCACCAGGGCATTACATCCACCGACACTGAATTACTTGAAATTTGGCCCAAATGTTCCCTTCATGAGTTAGGAAAGTGTGTCAGATTATTTTTTGCTCAACCTTACCGTTCCAATTTTAAGGGGGGGTGTATAATTTTCCTACTTTGCCTCTAAATTAAGGCTGCGCAATGTCACTGAATCTCAGTGTTTTTTTAAAAATTAAAGAAAAATACTTCCATGCCTTCAATATTTCTGAAATTTGGTATGTAGGGCAAATAAGAAGTGTAGAATCCAAATATTTAACTATTTCAAGCCTACACTTGATAGGAAATTTTATTTTACTCACCCAAATACAGGACCCCAAAATCAACAACTTTTCACCTATGTAGCTTACAGTCAGTCTATCAAAAACACTTTACTAAGTCATGAAGTAGAACATTTATGCCAAATTTCAACTAATTCGGTGTCATGACATGGAATGACCCTTACCAGTTGATTGACCTTTACGAGATGGGCATGTACTGTAAGAGGCCAATGTCCTGTGCAATCTCTGTTAGTCAGCAGTAGTAGTAGTTAGGAAGCATTATGGCTGAGTATTGAGAAGGCTAGGTTTTTTTTAAAATTTTTTTTTAAGTTTGAATGATTAGACAGCCAACGTTGATTGTCTTTGTTTAGTGGCATATCAACACCTCTATGGGTTACTTAATGCCGAAATCTAAATATTTGGATTGGTTTAGTTGGTTGTCTTTGTTTAGTGGCATATCAACACCTCTATGGGTCATTTAATGCTGAAATCTAAATATTTTGATTGGTTTGGTGGGTTGTCTTTGTTTAGCGACATATCAACACCTCTATGGGTTATATAATGCCAAAATCTAAATATTTTGAACACAATCTTATGGTTTCAACTACAGATAAAATGTATTGTTGATCATTTTGCTATAAAATGTATTGTTGGTAATGTTAGCATAAATAGGTATTATTGGTAATTTTTTCATATAAAAAAATGCTGCTGGTATTTTTATACTTTCATAGTGTTTTGTTTTTGTTTGTTTAGTTCACTATTTGCCCATAACTGGGACCCTAACAGGTGCTACCACCCTGAGTCAGAGTGGACTTGGGAACAACAGCAAATAAGAGGTGGTTCCAAGCTCCTCAAACCCTCCAACTTCCTGATCAGGAGGGGCTGACAGTCAATGTGACTTGGGTGCTGCATCTAGATACATGAGAACACCCGCAATTGAAGACCTGAGTGAACTGGGTATCCTGACCTGAAAGTATTTCTAACTGGGCCAAACCTGCAAGGTTATGTGCATTTTTTTCTTTTTAATCAAAACCTCCTCTCCCCGCACCCTATCACATACATTTGGCTGTGCTGCATGTACCTGGTATACCCTTATCAGACAGACTGTCATGATGAGTATATTAAGCTTTGTATATTTGTACACCAACGTCTCTTTGTTAGCATACTGATCTCTTACTCAATAATAGTAGTAGAAGTAGTAGTAGTAGTCTTGTATCCAAGAATTTATTTCCTCTTTGCTGATCGCTTCATTTATGATGATTAATGACTACATTCTCCTCCAATGTGCAAGTTCACCAAATCCTGCTCCCATCATCCATTCTCTAATGCCATTTAGTTTTGCAAGAGTTGTTTGAAGGTGAAAGAAAATCAGAGTCGAAGAAAGTACTGATGGCATGAATTTGTTTAAGGTGGTCCTCAATTTGCTGGGAAGTGACCTATCCACTTGATTTTGTTACCTTTTCTGTGGCACATATGGAATGAGACATGCAAAATACAGTTATGAAACTGCAACGGACTGCCGCTGACTCTGTTATTATTTCAAGTGGTGCCTTCTATAGCATAACCGTCATGGTTCAACTGTTGAGATCTGTTGTCCTTGATGGTGACCCTACCAGGTGTTTAGAACTCTCAATGACATCATTCACAGAGTCATTGGACCATGCAACCCCTCCACCATGACAAAGAGTGATCATCACAGGTGGGCAAGTAGTAGTAGGAACTTAGTAAAAATACAAAAAGTAAACTATTATTTCCCTTTATATATTCTTCATACATTGAATATTATAGCAAACCACCAGTGCCATGTCTCATAATGCTAAGTGATGTTAATATCAAAGAAATAAACTTACTTCAACTACTTTATAACCAAGTAATTTCAGGTGTCGTACTTTCATGGCATATTCCCCCATTAAATGGCCGGTATTGGAACAAAGGTGTTCGGGTTGGTGAAGTATTACTGCAATTCTGGAAAAGAACAAATTTGTATAAAGAAAACAGTTTTTCAGATCATTAAAGAACAGGTTTTTCTTACAATTCCTTATCAATCTTAATGTAAAAATATTGAAAGCTTTTCTTCTTTATGCACCATGTACCATCAAGATGTAGGCGATCATGCCTGTCGCCATCTTCCTGTTGTTTGTAGCTCTTATTAAATTTCGTCTTTCTGTTATGTCTTCTAAGCCTTGTTCCACCATCCATTTACTCAAGCTCATTAAGTATGTCATATGTCGTCTTCCTCTGTCCCTTTATCTGTCCTGTGAGTATCAGATTTTCCAAGCCTTCCTTACTCATTATGTGCCCCAGAAACCTCAACTGTCTCTTCCTGATGATAAGTATTGGTTTCCTTTTTGTTTTCATTTTCTCCAGAACTTCATCATTGCTCACAAGTTCGGTCCATGATATCTTCAGCATCCTTCTGTAAAACTACATTTTTGTTGCTTCAAATCTCCTCTTCATCTTTGTGGAGATTGTCCAGCACTCACTGCCATACAGGAGCACAAATATCACATAACAGTTTAGTACTCTTTTCCTTATTACTAGCAAGGTTTTTCTCAACAGTCTGAACAAAGTAAATAGTTACAATATCTCATCTCAGAAATATAGATGGATCCTGAAGAAGGCCAAAGTATACAACGGCTGAAATGTTAATATGGCAGTAAAGATGACAACAGTCCGAACAATGTAAATAGTTACAATACAATTTCAGAAATATAGAAAATTATATATACAAGGGTGTGCTGAAAAGTTCTTAACCTGATCAACTTCCCAAAATCTGACCAAGCAGAATTTCAGTTGGAGAATCTCTTCCTGGTTGGGCACCTGCTTGTATGTGTCTATATATTAAATGATGCTAATATGTAAATATCTACATTTTTTTTTAAAAATCATAAATATTAAAATATACTTGTGAATTATTTCATGTATTATAATTTGTACAAGTGGAATAAAGTCATTGTGCTGACTAATAATGACTTAATATCTCATATCAAACATTATATTTCACCTCCTGACTTTGTTAATTATTGTTAGCCAGTGTGTGTGTGTGCATAGCTTCATAGTCCATCATCTGAAACATGGACCTTACATTCTTGCCAACAATGTTTGAGAGGCTGTCCCCTTTTACTGCTGGGGTGGGTGCTTATATGTCTATTTCTGTCATGTGGCCTTTTCTCACATGTTGCATCCCAGATGCCACAAGACCAATCATCTGGGTACCTCCACCCACCTGGCCAGAGGTCACCTCGTTAAGCCTGCACCTGCTTCCCCAAATTACACTACTGAATGCAAAAAAAAAAAAAAAAATTAATTTCAGAATCAATAAGTACTTAGAGAAATATTTTTATTACTGAGCTTTTTGATACACACTGTTTTGAAGCTCAACATATTTCATAGTGACTGTTAACTTTATAAATATTTTATGTAAGATAGAAGAACCTCATCAAATGCACTGATAATTTTTACAAGTTTCAGGTAATTTTATAGTTTATTCATAAATACATTTTTTTAGCATCAGGTAATTTTAACTGAGCCTAGTCATGCATAAAAGATTTTTATGCTTGAGCCAAATTTCATGCTTAAAACATGACATTAATGGGAGAAATTTCAGGTGTTAGTGGTTAATAAAAGGTGCGTTAAAACATCTGAGCCTCTCTTCATGCTTAAAGTGGACTTAATTTTTGGACTGATCTAAACCTTGTCATGCTTATAAGCTAATTAAAGAAAAATCTAGAATCAGGAAAATAAAAAATACATTTAAAATAGTGAAACAAAGTTACATTTTTTCTCTCATTCCACTGTTAAAACTTTTAAAAGTTTAACCTAAATTTACTTTATCATCATAAACTGGCTATCTTTTTGCTGTCAGTAGATATGACTGATAATGATTTCCCATACTTACTCTATTAGTTTGAGTGTAAATTTTGCTGTTATGGTCGTAGAAGGGGGGACTTTAGTTGTGCAGGCATGCAATGTTTTGAGAATATCAGCTTTTATGGATGGAGATAGAATTGAATTATTTTTATATCCAGAGTTAAGTATTATATCAATGATTTTATCAACAGGGACATTTCAATTTAATTTCACCTCCATTCATAAGAATTTGGAATAGAAATCATCTTGTGGCTTGCATTGTTTTCATCATTGTTTTTCATGAAAAAGGACAGAAACAATTCACATTAAGCAATCTATAAAAAGTTTACAAAATTTTTATGTAAGTGTTAGAAAGTTAGAAATAATTATGAAAATGATTAAAAATCAGAAATCAAGTCAACAAATATTGGCCACAAGAATTGAGAGATGAATCTCCTTCCAAAATCATCTCAGTATCAAAAGATTTAATGTTTCATAACAACAATTACAAGAATATTTCAATTTGGAAATCCTAGAATATTTTTAAGTGATAACAAGTATCAGTTTGATAATTCTTCCTAACAGACATCACGAAGACAAAATCTATTGTAAAATTAAATTAATATTAACACATTGGCTGCAAACCAAGAGATAATTCCTAGTTGGAAGTTGTTATTATGACACCAAACTATGAATTATCTTGTGTTTGGCATTTTCAGATACATTGTCATCAGCAGGCATCAACAATGAGTTTATAGTGTGAAAACAATGTTAAGACTTCAGTTGAAGCTAGAAATCAACTCATAAAAATGTTTTTATTGCCTAATTTGGCTATTATAATGTTTGCATTTGAAGTCAGTTTAGTAATTGTTCTTGTGTTAAAAGTGGCACAAAAAATTGTAGAGTAAAACAAAAAAAAGGTAATAATTTACCGGGAATTTATTTCCATTGGTTGACTGTTAATCGAAAGTGGAATTAAATTTTCATCCAGCAAAATTTCAAAATCTGAAATAGAAAATATTTTAACTATTATATATTTCCCAGAATAAAGAGAATGCAGGTTTAATCCTTGCCAAGAAGTATATTTCTTCTTTTGTTCTTTTTTAAAATAAGACTTTCAATTGGCCAAGATGATAGATGATAATTTCAGTTTAAAAAAACAAGGATGTCTACTCAAACACTTGTAACCACTATATACAACTTTTATAGAAATAAGGAATTATTTTCTCTCTCTCTCTCTCTCTCTCTCTGGGGTGACTATGTTTAAAAAAACATCCCTATAACTCTAGATACATACATAAAAAATCTGTACCTTCAGTTAAAAATCATCCTCGATAATGGCTAAAAGAACAACCAAAGGATTCGGACATACAGAACATTCAGACAATTTTTACATACTTTATGGCCAGTAAAGAAAATTGTAGTAAAATAAATAATAACAAGAAGGCTAAAATTTCACCATTTCTAAAAATAGATATATATTCAGAATCACCTGACCACAAAGCCATATTTTGACCAAACAATCAGAAAGCTTTAATAAACATGATATAACAAATAAAAGCAGTGCAGAAATTTCAAAGCATTTCTCTGGATAAATAAGATTTAAAATAGACCTAAATCAGAATCGATGAATTAATTTTGTCTATTCTCCGATGATGTGGTCATCATAATATAATCAGAAGTCGAAATGCAACACTTGCATGACCAGCTGGCGACCTGAGCCTTCTACACAGTCTTGCTACATTTTAAAACATACATAATTTCCTTCACCCACATTGTTAAGCAGGTGGCTGCTACATTTGCATACATACATAGAAATACACATATATATATTTAGTTTCTCTTGGACTCTCTCTGTCTCTCTCGTATGCAACAGTCCTTTGCTCTTGAAATATCATATCTCACCTTATCCTTCTGTATTAATATATTGGGTTATATAAGATTTATTCTGTATTTATCAACACTCAGTGCATTTTTCTTATCATTACTCAAGGCCAATCTACATCTAAACCAAATATAACTATATATGGTCATAAAAGAAAATCTTCCATAGAATAAATAAGGATGCATATGTCAGCTTAGACAAAAATTAAAAAAAAAATTAACCAAACTCTTTTTCATTTTCTAACATTGGAAGCTGACAAATTGAGATATCATCATGTCCTTCAAATACTTTAATTGTTTGGAGGACCAGAGGGGAAAAGAAACAGACTGCTGGTTCCAATACAATTATGGGAATGATTGCACTTTCCCCTCCCCAATTTATAAGCAGAAGCACACAAACACATTCTGGAATTTCTTCCTAGCCAATAAAATAAAGTAGTTCTTGGTTTCATTTGACTCAGTCCCAGTCTGTCTTGTGTTGAGGTCTAAACACTATGTTTGCTTATTCAAATTTGCTCTTGTGTGTTAATTCCAATTCTTAGTTGCCTTATAACTGTTAATTTGCCTTGAATATGTTGTTTGTTTGCTTTGTATTATTTTGGCCCAGTTTTTTTTCTTTTTCTTGCTGTTGCTTATTGTAAATTTTGTTTGTTGAGCAATTCTGCCATTTACATTTAACCCCGGCCACATACTCTACATGCTCCTCCAGTCTGATCTGTTGGCAGTGGTTCTCAAAAGTTCTGGTATTATCATGTCCATCCACTTTTGATGTTGTTTGACCAGCTCTTATGTTGCTATCCCGTCCTGTATTTGTCTTCAATAGTGCATGAGGGTCTTGCAGAGGCTGTCATGCCATGTGACATGGCTAAACCATGCCATCTCCCAAAGCTTAATAGTGGTGTGGAGGGATTCCTGCCAGCCTACAAGACTTCCAATCTTGCTCAATACATGGTCATTGGTTTTGTGCTCCCAGTAGAAGATGGAGAGGAGCTTTCTCAAGTATTTGTTCTCGAATACCTGGATCATTTTTCCTGTTTCAGCCAGAAGTATCCAAATCTGATGTTACTCTTCTATATCCTTTCCAGTCTGGTCGTTGCTGCTGTGTGGATATCTATGTAGCAGTTGCCATCTTTTGACAGGGTTGCTTCCAAGTATTTGAAGTAGAAAACTTCCTCCAGTGGTTCATTGTCTGTGGTGAGACTTAAAAATCATTTGCATCTTCTGAATAGAAGCTGCTTGTATATGTTCTCATTAAAGGATTTTATTTTTTATTTTACCTTTAGAAAAACAGTTTATTGTAAATATTTCTTATGAAAGTATTCAAATAATAAATTGGATTGAAATAATTTTATTAGCTATTTTCTTTAGAATTGAATTCCTTTCTTTGTAGTTTGTAAGAAAGCTATAAAAGATCATGGAGAGAATCAAGCTTGACAGCTAGACTTCAGCAGCGGTTTAATACTCCAAGTTCTAGACTCAGGATTGTCCCACAGGATAGTAATAGCATAGGAGATTAAAGCATTAGTTCATGAATTTAGTGGCATAGTAATTGGGAGCTCAATCCCTGGACCAAGTAGTAGCAACACAGAGTCAGTAGAAACAGTACGAGCAATAAATGAGCAGGACTAAAGTAATTGAGAGTTCAATCCCTGGGATGGGTAGTACAGACTCAGTGGAGACAGGGTGAGCAAAAACTGAGCAGTACTAAATAAGAACAAGATATCTCTAAACACAGTGGAACACAAAAAATATATACCCATAGATAAAATAAAAAGTTTAGCTTGAAATTTCCTGAAGGTTACCTGAATTGACAGACACCTAAAGAAGGTTGAAGGGAATAGTGGTCAAAGACATTGTGATAATAACAACAAAGATGAGGACATTAATCCAACTGTAAATAATGTAAATTTATTCTTTAAAAATTTGCAAATTGCATGCATTTACTAAATAACAATGCATAGGCTGTTATAAACAAAAGCAACAATAAAGTAACAAGTTATTAACTAAAAATTTTAAATAAATTTAAAAATATTTAGAAGAAAATAACTCCTTTTCCAATGTGCAAAACTATCAGCAATGCAATAGTGGATAAAAATAATGATAAGAAAAGCCCTGAAAAGTGAATTTTGATATATTCTTTAAAGAGGAAAAAGACTAATTACCGATCACATAAATGGCTTTCATTGCTTGCTTGCAACAATCAATTTTATCATAACCAACCATACGATCCAGACACTTGAAGACGTCTCGATGAAATTTGGAACTCAATGAATCTGAAATAAAATAGGAATAATAAAAATCAATAAATTTCAAATTCCTTACATTTTCAAAGTTAAGTAATGGAGTAGCAGGACCTTAGAATAAAGATTGCTAATGCACTTGATACTAATCTGTGTTGAACTTTTATTTTTGAATAAAACTGCTTTTGCATAAAATTAACATGAAGCCCACATTAATATCATTGTTTGAAAATTAAGCATCAAAAATATTTTTCCATTAATCTTTTCTCCATGTTTCCATGTACAAACTTTCAATAATGGTGAGATTAACTGTTTCTTTATAAGAAAACATTTGGCATTCATTAATCAAATAGCATTACTGTCAGTTGAAATTTATAAAATATTTCTCTTGAAAAAGTTATGTTAGGAAAATAGTTTTCGCAAGTTGGCTGTTATCACTCTTTCTAATAGTGATAGGCATTTCTTTCCTAATTTTTTGTTAAAGGTAGTGTGGAAAGCTTTATTTATGTCATTATTTTGTCTTTGAGTTAAAATGTCCATTTATCTTAGTTGTTGAGAAATCTTCAAGTAATGTGTTTTTTTGTTATTTGATAAAGTTCTTTGTCATTCTGTAGTGTCAGTCAAAGTCAATGAGATCTGCTGAAGGATAGATTTCCAGAATTCAATAATTTCAAAGCTAATTTGGTAAATTCTAAGTCAGGTATTTGTTCGTCACTCAAAATTGAATGTAGAAAAGCAACAACTTCTCTTAAACCTTCTTTGACCCCAGTTTAATTTCATCCTCAGTTTCATATAAAAAGGAAAATATTTGATTATTTAGTGATATTTAATAGACTTTCAGTTTTATAAAGCATTTGCATTCTTAAGATTCAGAAAAGTAATTTTCAACATTTTAAACTGATGAACTACATCCGGCAGCAAGACCTGATTGGGAGATTGGAGGTTTTGAGGAGTGTGGAACCACCTCTTAATTGCTGTTCTTCCCATGGTCCACCCTGACACAGGGTGGTAGCACCTGTTAGGTTCCCAGCATGCAATAGCGTTCAAGATGTTTAGATTTTGGCATTAAATAACCCATAGAAGTGTTGATATGTTGCTAAACAAGATCAACCAAACAACAAACATGAAAAAACTCTTTCATGACATGAATTCATATAATATCCTACAATTCCATAAATGAATCAAACTGTATTCCAAACTATAACGTCAACAAAACTACAACATAAAACACACATATTACTACTTAATATGTATATACACAAATGCCGAGTATCATCTACCATGTATTCAATTGTGAAAGAAGAATAACATATATCATATTTTTTTTTACATCCCAAGAAAATTAAATTTCAGCATAAATGACCCATAAAGTGTTGATATGCCATTAAACAAACAAAATCATTCATTCATTGTTTTCATCTGTGTTGTGTGTGTGTGTATGTTTCTTTTTTTTTTTTGTACCTGAAGACTGCTGTCCAAATTCATTCTGCATTACAGAGACAAGAACAATAAATACATCTTATCTTACTTATTATAAAATGCAGATTGTGTGTGTGTGTGTGTGTGTGTGTCTGTACGTTTATATATTGATGATTTCCTACATTTTCAACCGATTTCAACAAAACTTCACAGGACTGCGTAAAATTACCTTGCAGTGGTTCTTCTGGCGGCAAAAATTGGAAAAACACAAAAGTTTTTTGCACGAAATCAATTTGAAAACACGATAAAATACGATTCTGTCGCCAGAATGAAAGGGGGACAACTCATATCGAGTTATACTTATTATAAAACCCAGGTTGTTTGTTGTGTGTGTGTGTGTGTATTATTTATATGGGATCGGATTTCCTATTTTTTCAACCGATTTCAACAAAACTTCACTTTTTTTTTTGGCAGGTAGTATTTCTTATTGTCTTGCACACTTTTTACTTTATTTTTACATTCAGAATGCTTTAAAATTCCATTTACAAGACAATTGTTTATAATAAAATTCTATTCAGAGGGGTAGACTCATAACGATTGAAAACAATGTTTTGTTGTTTGAGTTTGACCAATTCGTAAAAAAAAAAAAAAAAAAAAAACTAATTAAGACATGCGTGTCCGTCAACCTTAAACAATAATCTTTGTCAATTTTATTTTTCAGTCTTTATGATGGTCGATACTTGATCTATCTCTTACTGTTACATCCCCGGGCAACACCGGGCTCTACTGCTAGTATAATAAATACATAAATAATACTGTCCACCTAAATGAATTTACTACTTTCATTCTGGAATAAGTCAACCTTATTTAAAAAAGCAATATATTTTGAAGGTATTCACCAATCAGTAATTATTAAGTAATCAATACAAGACAATAATTATCCTAAATTTGATTTGTAATAGGGAACAAAAAAAAAAAAAAAAAAAAAAAAAAAGAATTTTTAAATTTTTTTTGCACTTAATATAAAGAACTACTTGGAGATGCCATGAAATTCTACCACTTACGTTAAACAATTTCCTCAAATTAATTTACTGACCATTTTCTTTTCAGTTATTTACAAATCTCAAACAACTTCAGAGAATATAAAATATTTCTCTTAACCCTCTGTTAATACAATTGTGCATTTGAACACTCCAGAAAATATATTTGGCAAGTCAAGTTTTCATGATTCATCAAGTAGTTTTTTTGAATAGCTCTGTCAAGTAAATAATTTCTTTTTATATCTGTTATCTCCCACTTTACTTAATTTTACAAAATTTTGGAAAATTCAAATTTCATCCCCTTCATATTTATATTAGTTAAAAGCATGTATATATAAATAAAAAGAAAGAACAGTAAGATATATAAATCCAGTGCTCTTATTGATATTTTTATTTTTACAAAACAGTGCTCAATGTATATTTACAGAGCATAAATATTATAAATTAACTGATTTAAAATATGTTTTTTTCACTACACAGTAATAACCATGTTTCAAAAACTGAAGCTAAAAACTTCAAATTTTATTATATAATTAAATTAAAAGCATTAGTACATTTCATCTTCAAGTGAATTTTGGAATCTTAGAGAATTTAAATCATCAATTTGTTTTTGTCAAGCAGAAACACACATAAAATAAAAAACTCAATAAAACTAAAACATTACTTAATTAGAAAAGCTTTTAATTGCTTTTAGAAGTTATATTAAAGACACTATTGTCTTAAGAAAAAATTCTTTTTTTGATGAATAATGAATTTGCCAAAATATTGTTTTCATTTTTAAAATTTTTAATTAGAATAATTTAAGTCACAGCAGCAACAAGTGAAGGCAAAACATCTTTTAAAATTCTGTATTAATTTCATCCTTTTAGATGATATTATTATTAAGTAAAAACTATATTTACAAATCATAAATGGAAAAACTTAGTACAAATCATCAAACACCAATATTTTTAAAAGAATTTTTGAATTTTTTTGTATGTGCATAAACGTGCTGATTTTTATAGATACAGACGTCCATACCATGGCGTTCTATACTCCAGGCCAAGTCATGGCGCAACTGAGAGCCAGAACTGGAGGCCTATTGAAAAATGTAGGAGTCAACCACTTGATGAAATACTTAGAATAACATTTTTATTCACACCTGAAGATAATAGGATGTGTTGAAAGATAAATAAATGAAAATATGTATTTTTGCTATAAACACTGATAATTATTAAACAACAGAAAGGGGTAATTATGATTTCTGGTAAAAGATATATTGAATCAGAAATTTATACTATTTACAGGTGTCACTGAATCCTTTATTCAATCTATTCCCTGTGAGTGAATAAAGACTTTGGTTTAAATTTACATTATAGTTACTGGGTTTAACAAACAGAACCCAAGAAGGCTGGAAGACATCAGCCGAAGTGTGTATGTAACAATCAATCATTACAGAAATATAGACAAATAAAACAAAATTATTCTAGGAAAGTTTCAAAACTTTTAGAGCTGGTTCTTTTTCTGATCTAGGTGTGCCATGTTTGCAAAAATTTTTCAAAACTATATTTGCGAAAATAGAAGCATGCTTTTTCTCCATGTTGAAAAAATGAAACTCAGAAATAAGCATAAAAATGTTACTTAATGATTTATAGCAAACCTTTTCCTTTATTGTATGGAAAAGGATGAAACAAAAAATAACCATTGACAAGTGTGGTCAGAAGGAACTTTTAGTTTTCCACAGTCAATTAAATTGGTATATTTTCCATACTTTTCATAAAAAAAATGGGTTTAACATTCACTGGGTTGATTATCATTTCTTGTAATATATCCAGCTATGTACACAAGAGCCATTTTTATTTCATTGGAAAGAGATGGTTTTAAATTTTCCAGATTGTCAAATATTTCTGAACCTTCCTCACAAAGTTTATAATCACAAGATGTACATTGGTGACCTGGATTAACATCAAATTCATCAATATTTACATTTTGATTTAAAAGTAAAGATGTCTGCTTAATATGCAGCTTTTCAATACATTGTTGAACATTTATAAAATAGGTGCCACCTGATCCTTGGCGAAGTTTACCAAATTCTTTTTCTAATGGATCAGTTGAAAATTGCCCAAGTAGTACATATTTATGACTTGTAGCTAAAAAGGTGTCGACATAGACTAACAATTCCATTGCAAATATGATGTATGGCAGTAGCAATGTTTTGGGATAATTGTTTTTTACAATTACCTTGACTGTCAGCCCTATTAAGAGCCATTTTACCAAATTCAATAAAATCAAGTCGGGTGTCATTTGGAGATTTGATTTCAGCTTGTAGAGGATCATTATGTAATTTATCAATTTGAAGGCATTTAACATTTAAAATTTTCCACCATGTCAAAACCTTATTTATGAAGAGGGCAGTATCATTCTTACCTGCACTTATTTCAGACTGAGTGAGAAGTGCATTATATGTTTTTTCAGAAAACACTCTGAGGCAAGTAGAAACCCGTTGTCTTTCTATTGGCTTTGGAGCAATGAAAATTTCATTTAAATCTGAAAGTCTGACTAGTCTTTCAGATTCAAAACGATATAACTGTTTAACATGTGTCCATTTTGCAACTCGACTTACTCCATCATCATCAAAGATTAGTTCTCCTGTTTTTTCTGTCAGCCACAAATTGCGAATATTTTTCAACAGATGAACATAATCAAAAATCAAATGATTATTATCTTCAGTTCACCAAGGTTTTTCAGGAAGTGTAGGATATAATTTAAAAAAAGCTTGATTTACGCGGTTGCCATCACCAATAATAGCCTTTACATCAGCTGGTACAGATGTGATGGCTTGGACTGTTAACTCAATTTGTTCAAATAAAAAGGCAGATGTTAATTTTGAAATTGGAATCAATTTTGTAAGAAAATTTGGACCCCCCATTGAGACATATCAACATTATACCAAGTACTGTTTGAGCAAGTACAGATGGATTGTCAACTGATTTACCAAATAGTTGTTTGCCATGATATAGCAACATCTTTTTGATAGATATTTCATCATGGAGAATTATGCCCTTTTTGACTGGTATTAAGAGTATTAAATATAGATAACAAAAAGATTTTTCATTAAGTTTTGAAACTTTTGGCGTCATCCTTCATAATGTTGCTAATGAGGGTAATTGAAAATCATATCTTAATTCATTATACAATGTCCATGATCTTGCATAGTACCCAAAAGCATGCACAACTATATCTGAGCTGTATTTTATTCCAACCATTTTGGGAGCCATTGCTAAAAATTGTTGACTCAGGATATTTTTCTTGTGATCAAAAGCCATAGAATTTAAATATCGGATGATTTCTTCCAGTTTTGACCAAGTATCAACTGTATTTATATGATTTTTGGACAGGCTGCTAATATAACACTTAACTCCATAATGAAATGTTTCAAAGTGCAAATTGTTATAAATTTTCAGCATAAAGAGAGGAATACTATCAATAGATTTAGATGATTGAACAGTTAAAATATTTTCATCCAAAAATGCTATAACTGGACATATAAAGTTTTTTTGTTGAAGCAGACTTTCTTTCAAATTTGTATAATTTTATATAATTCTAAAAAAGCATTAAGTTCATCAGCAATTTGATTTCTAATAGTACTGGAGGATTTTTTTATATTCCTTTGAACAGCTGAGGGTGTTGGTATTTGACTACTTGGCACACTTGGCCATACAGATGGTGGATTTTTTGGACGTATTTTTCCATTAACTTTTATGGTATCAAAATTTGAAGGCCAATGTTGTTTACTTTAAAACTTTATATTAAATTTAAAAACATTCATAAGTAGCCTTTCCTTTAGTTTGGTTATTTTAATACGCTCTAAACTATATAAATAGGAATATAACTTTTTTTTTTACCTTAAAGCAAAACAAAAGTAAAGTAAAAATAATGCATTTTGTCCTTTAACAACAATATCAGAAAAATATTAAAATAAATAAATAAATAAAATGGTATTATTATTATTATACTTGTCTTGTAAAATAAATTTTGTAGTCAAAAGGCGTAAAAAAGGAGACCTTTCTAAAAAAAAAATAAAATGATAATTAAAATATTGACATTAACTGCATGTAATAATAAATTTATTATTGTTATTTTTTTCTTTAATTCTAATAAGTAAAAAAATACATACAGTTCACCAATTGGTAACTAATGTAGCAAAAATAATCATTTATTCTTTAACTTCGGAAACAAATGCGCAAAGAAATTCGTTTGTTTTGTGTTTTTTTACTTTTAATAGAAATGTTGGATAAAGTTTTAATAGAGAAATGTTAATGAACCTTTCTCTATTAAAATTTTATTCAAATTTATTATTCAAACTTAATTTAATAGAAAAATGTTGACTTATGCTAATTTTTTATCATGGTTAAAAACTTGAGAAAATTAAACTTTAATTTCGTTGACGTTAAGTTTTCACTCATTACAATGTATTTTTTTTTAGCGATATCAAAAATAAATATCAAATTAAGTAATGACATTGAATTTATGAAAAAAAAAAAAAAAAATTTTATTCATTTTATAATAAAAATAGTTTTCTTTACCGGTTTATGTCTTTGAAGAAACTAAATTAAATTCTGTTCAAATTTGTTAAACGTTGTTTTGTTTTGCTTCTTAAAATAACACAAATTACTCAAAAAGAATTGCATTTTATCAATAAATAATTCTTTAAACTTTAATCAAAAAATGTTGAACAAACTTTAAGAGGGAAAATGACAAAAATGAATTAAACTTTAATTTAAAAATGTTAAGGCTTAGTAAATCTTTTTGTGCGAGTAAATTTAAGCACCAAAGTTTACTTTTTACAATTTAAATATGAATAATGTATGGATTCAAACTAAAATAATCAAATATACTTACTTCAAATAAATAAGTTAAATGATATTCCAACTAAAGGTAAAATTAAAAGATTCCTTTGAATTTCTCGAGCCAACAACATAAGAGTACACAGTACGCAGCAGTTCGCTCAAACTGAAACTAAAACGATCTAATTGTCAGCCGGCCCCTCCAGTCAATCGCGGTAGCGGCCTTATGCAGAGGCCTGTTAATATAGAATGCCATGGTCCATACACAAAATTATCAGAAAATAAGAAGTGATAACTATAATAAATTTAGAGCCAAAGTTCCTAAAATTCAATAAAACATTAGTTTACAGAGAATATTTCCTAAATTTTTTAGATTACTGAGTACTTAAAAATTATATACAAAAAAGAGCTCATGTTAAATTCAATTATTTTTTGCAGTTAAAGCCACCATAAAAACATTAAAAAAAAAAAAAACAAAAAAAAAAAACACACACACACACAATTTGCTGATATGGATTTAGTTTAAAATGGTAGATTACTAAACTGACAAGGTGTAAAACTTTGTAGTTGGACATGAATCAAGCTCTCAGTGTTGTCCTGAAGCATTTCTATAAAACGTGTACCAAAAATCATAGTATAAAAGCAAAAGGAATTAACTCACATTTTATTCTGTGATCCATTTTGAAGAGATGAGGTATGTTTCTGTGTTTAGTTTCTAATAACAAGGCAGACTGCAACATTTCAAGCCATTTACCAACTGTTATCTGAAGTTTTTCATTTGAGATTCCTAGGAAGAAAAAAACAGATATTATTGTAAAAAAAATAAATAAAAAAACCCAACAGATGAACATTTAATCTTGTAGTGAAGCTTTTATTCAATGCAATTCAACTACTGCCCATTGAGTAAGGTTGGGCCATTTCTTTTATAGTAGAGTATATTTAGAATGATATCAGAAAGAGGAATAGGATGTGTACTTATGTTTCATAGATTATGCAAAAGTATTTGATAAGTATATCACAAAGAACTGTTGGAATTGCTAAGTAACCTTGACATATTTGGAAAGGCTATTAGAATAATCCAGAACCTATACTGGCAGCAAATGACTTGCATATGGACAGAAAATTAATTCAGTAAATATAAAAGAAAGCAGAAGGGTTGCAAGACAAGGATATCTCTCCTCATTGGACTTATTCAACCAATACAGTGAGGTGATTCTGAGAGAATTAGAAGTCCTATCATGATTCATTATTGGCGGCCACAATCTTAACAACATAAGATATGTAGATGTCAAAGTACTGATAGCAGAACCAGGAAGGAAATAAAAACTCCAACAGAAGAAAGTGAGGGAAAGCATGAAGAAAGGACTAAACAAGAAGATGGAATGCATAGTTGTTAGCAAAAGGAACAGCCCATCATGCAAATTATACATTGGAAATACTAAAATCAAACAAGTACAGCAATTTGAATATCTGAGAAGTGTTTTAACAGACAATGGAAAGTGTGACACTGAAATCCAAAGTGCATTGAGATAGTGAAAGATGCATTCCAAAAGCTAAGCAAAGTATTAAGAAACAGGAAAATTTTGTTAGAAACTAAGAAAAAGAGAACTGAAAATTATGTAATATCAATCCTCCTACATCACAGTGAATATTGGAGAATCTCTTTAAAGATGAAGAAGAGACTTGAAGCAACAGAAATGTATTTCTACAGAATGATGCTGAGGATACCATGGACCGAACATGAGAATGATGACAAAGTTTTAGAGAAAATGGAAACAAAAAGGACACTTATAGTTAACATCAGAAAGAGAAAGTCGACATTTCTAGGGCACATAATGAAGAAAGAGGACTTGGAAAATTTCATATTCACAAGACAGATTGAGGGCAAGAGGGATAGAGGAAAACATTGCATAAACTTCCTAACATGTTTCTGTAAATGGATGACAGAACAGGGTTTACAAGAGATAGCAAAAAGACAAAATTTATTAAGAGCTACAAAAGACAGGAAATGGTGGTGAACTATGATCATCAGCATCCTGTAGGGACACAGCACAGAAAAGTTCAAGGGGGAGATATCTACAGTTGTCTTCCACCACAACTATTATTGAAGCTTCGTTTCTTCTTTAAGTTTTTGACTTTTGGCCCATTTGTAGAACATTCAGTTGTATTTAGTAAAATCTAAAATGCATCAAAAAAAAAAAAAAAAAAAAAATTAAAGCATTTGGTATTCTGAAATTATCTCTCATTTATGGTAAATAATTCCATTTATTTGCCTTCATTTTTGACACGAGAACTTACACCTTTATTTACAGTCGAACTAATATCCTCATCTTTGTTGTTGTTATCATAACATTTTAGGTGTCTGCCGATTTGGTTAACCTTCATGGAATTTTGAATGGAAATCTTTATTTAATCAACAGGAGTAGAGAGTTCTCATTCCACTATTGACATCTGGAGATATCTCGTCTTCTTATTTAGAACTGCTCAAATACTGCTTGCCCTGTTTCCACTGAATCTGTACTACCCAGACCAAGGATTGAACTCACAAACCAATGCTGTAACAAACTAAGCTATTTCCCCATGATTGCTTCTTGAATTTGGTGACATAGTAATTGTGAATTTAATCCCTGGGCAAGACAAAACAGGAGGAGCAATAACTGAGCAGTACTTAAAAAAAAAAAAAACAAAAAAAAAAAAACAATAAAGATGAGATATCCCTAGACATGAGTAGTTGAACAAGAACAATCCACGTCTGCAGATTAAATAAATGGTTAAGTTCAAAATTCCTTGAAAGTTAGTCAAATCAACGGACACATGAAGAAGGCTAGAGAACACAACAGCCAAAAACATATTGACAATAACAAAGATGAGGACATTAGTTCAGTTATTTTCTACAATTTTTAAGAGAATCTATTTTTTATGAATTAAACTTCTCCAAGTTCTGGGTCATTTGATGTGATCAGATAATGAAATATTGTTTATTCCTTTTTGGAATAAACTTTTGGTGTAGACCCCCAGTAATGTAACACAGACCCCCACCCCCCCAAGGGTCCATATGGACCTTGGTTGAGAACCACTGATCTATAGCATTCAAATGTCACACTACATCTACTTATTACCCATAAAGTATTCACTTTTAGTGGTTAAATAAAAAATGGATGTTACATTTTACCAATGCCAATTTATATATCAAATATTAAGTGTATAAAAAAAAAACAAAGAATTTATAAATTTGTGTAATTTGTCTTCAGTGCTTAGACTTATTGGCAAAAGAAACTATAAAAAAGAAGATTAACATAAACTGAACATTTACAGTGTCTCCAGATACTGTTGACAGCTAGATTTTCTTTTCTAACTTGCTTCATTAAATGTTGGAGATACTATATATATTCCAATATAAAGCAATATCCGTGGCTTCCTGTGAAATTTTGGGAAATGCATATGCAGAGGGACTGATTTTCCATTTCAAATTTTCCTTAATTCCATTTCAGGTAATTCCATTTTTTTTCCTCCATTTTCAACAGATTTCTGTTTGTGCTAATTATAAAAGTTAGTGAGAAAGTGTAACAAATATATATATATATATATATATATATATATATATATATATATATATATATATATATATATATATATATTGCTCAGTTTGAAAGGGTGTCATACCTCATACTTCTGACTTGATGAGATTCTGGTACAACCTTTTAAAGAATGCTACAATCCTAAATAAAAATTAAGTGAAAGTAGCAAAACCTACAGAAAAATAACACCATAAAGTCATCTAGCGACAAAAAGCTATATTATCATTTGATAACTTTATTGAAATTATAAAATAAAATTTTTGAAAAAAAAAGTCTAATTTGTAAAATATGGCTTTTTGAAATGACAAACTGCCCCCACCTCTGTCACCATGTGTGATAGGAAAAAGAAAGGATAAAACAAAAACACAAATTCCCCGCCCCCATACACACACACTACCACCATCTTCATTTTTTTTTTTTGATTAAATCAAGCCAACTTTGTAAACCTTGGTTCCTAAATACTGTAAACTTCAGGGCGACAGTAAGAAAAGGCGGGGGGGTGTATTAAAACATTACCAATTTTGTCCTTTGATGTCTGTCAGACGAGTGAGTTAGGAAAGCCAAACAGTAACAAATTAAAATGGCAGTTGATAAATCTGATTGTTAGAAAAAAAAAAAAAATTTCCATTTCAAAATTGCGATTTCCATTTCAAGTAGGCCATTTTGTTTTTCTGTTTTTGCAGAAAATAAGCCACTCTACATACACAGCTTCTCTTAAATTTTACTTGAATGTTTTATAAATGTATACTAGGTATTAAAAAATAATGCTAAAAGGAAAACGTTAATTGAAACCATCTACAATATAAGTAATATTTGTAGAATTAATTTTGTCATTAGTACTGGGTTGCTCGGTTTTTTGAGAACACATCTTTTAATAGCTCTAACTCTTTTTCTAACTTGCTCCGATTATCACAAAAATCATGTCCTTAAAGTCAGAGAATAGTGATTTACAGATCATTTGCTTCCTGAAATTTCCACGGTTGTTTGCTGTCAAAGTTTGTAAAGAGCTGGAAACTGCCAACTAGAATTCTACAGCAGTAGCCAAATATAAAACACCTGCTAAGGGTCCTAATACTAGCAAAACACCCAAATTTGTATGAAAGGTGCAGAAAATTGACAGAAAGGACTCCAGAAAGTCAATTAATGCCATTGCTAAGAAGCTTAATGTTTGAAGGCACTCTATCAGAAGAATTGTACTTGAGGACCTTCGATTCAAGTCTTATGTGATGTGGAGAGGCCAATTTGTCTCTACAAAAACAAAAGATAATCATCTGATCTGAACAATGTGCTTGTTAGGCAAGTTGAAATATCAAGAGCCTGGAATGATTTGTTTTTATTCTGATGAGAAAAACTTTGATCAGGAGGAAAAGTTCAACCAAAGAAAATGCCAAATGGTTATGCAGAGGAGGACATTGTAACAGTGATGCATACAAAGTTTCCAGCAACTGTGATGATTCTGGGAGTTGTGAGCAATGAGGGAGATATTATGCCTCCTCACTTCCTTCCTCAGAGATTAAGGGTCTATAGTGCCAATTATAATGAGGTGTAATAGAGAGGGCTGTGTGGCCTTGGATAGAGAGTATAAGCAAAGGAAGAAAATACACTTACCAACAAGATTCTACAATGTCTCATGAGACCAAAACAACCCAAGAACGAGTGAGTTACAATCTCCACGATAAAAATCACCATAAACATATGGCCTCCTAGCTTTCCAGACATAAATCTGTTTAACTACTATGTATGGTGAATGGTCAAGAGGAAAGTCAGTCAATACATCCATAACACTATAAAATCTCTATGTAATATCAAAATGTTCAAAATAGATATGATCATTTGATTCAGGCATATCAATTTCTTCAGACCTCATTGATACTAATGGCGGTACCATTAAGTTGATGTGCCAAGAAGAGTCTCAGGATTATTCATGCCAATTCTATCTCAAAATAAAGCTATTCTTATGTATCTGTGGAATCCTGTTAAGAATTGTAGGAAAATTCAATAGATTTAAGTAATATCTTTAAAATCTCAATTCTCTGCACCAACATCGGCTCACGCATGTCGACTCATTTTTGTGCAATTTTTAGCCTCCAGATTTGAATTTCCACATTCAAATTTATTAACCAATCAGCACCAATGCACTGATGGCTTTGAATTTTCAGACAACTATGTTTGTCATCTGCTATGAAATTTGAGAGCTCACTCCAGAAAAATAACCAACAATATTTTTCCTCTTAAAAACAGATATTTAAAAAATACTTATTAACCAATAAACTTCTGAGTTTAGTAAATGTAAGTTTTAGATCACTGAAGCCTATTTCTCTGTATAAATATGATCGCATAAATCAACAAAGTTTCAGTTTTCAGTTATTCCATAAACCTTTGACCAGAGTTGATCATTTGTTGTTGTGCAGGCTACAGATGTGATGAACCAAATAACTTGGAGAATTGAATTAAAGGGAAATAATGGAGACATCCAGAAGAGGCATGGCATGTGAAACTAGAACAGTCTGCCCCAGTGGATGAAATAAAGGGCTCAGTTTGAATTCCAATCACCTGAAGAATAGTGTACAATGGCCGAAATGTGAATATGGCAATGAAGATGAGGATAACAGTCTGAATAATGTAAATTTTTCTTAGAATAACAAAATACAAATAAATAAGGATACATAATTAAAAAATAATAATAAATTATTTAATAAGTGATTTCTAAAGCAGACAACATTTCGAGGGCTGTAATGAAAATCATAACTGAATCTTTGTGCAAAGTTAAAATTTGAATATGGATCACAGAGAAATTAGAGACTTCATAAAAGAAATAGAAATTACCTTTAATCCTGGACAAAAATGATGGTGTTAAAATTAAATGAGAAAAGTTAACAGGAAAACGTTGAATGAAAGCAAATGAACAAAGAAGTTCAACCAAATTTGGGATGGGGAATTCAGACAAATTATTTTGAAGAACCTCCTCTGCCTTCAAAAACAACTGAGTGGAAACTGGAGACTGATAGTTCAACTGACCAAATGGTCGAAGCACTGAATAAACTTGCAGGCAAGTGTAGTCATGACCATTTTTGATAAAGTCATGAGCAGCTATGTCAAAGATTTGAGTTGATAAATAGCGCCGAGTGCGACAATATTCCATCACTAAAGCTAAAAGATTACGGTCCATTTTTTCTATTTTGGCTAGAATATAACGTTTAACAGATTTGATGAGGTGGCTGTCTGTGTAATGGAAATGCAAGAAACAAGCAACAATTTGAGTTAAGTGAATGTCATTAACAGTGTTGATGTTCATAAATGTCCATTTGCCAATATATTGTAGCATTTTGATATTATTCAGCCTAAGTCGAAGCATGTCGAGGACAATACTGGCGATATCTTCACACTTCAGTTTCCACCAACAAGAAAAAAACTGTTTCTGGACTAATTTCAAAAGTTCTTTCTGCGAGCTCGGGATACAACGAAAAACCAGGTGACAATTGTCCTCGTTGATCTCTTCATAACGATTGCCAATATGGATCCAACAAGTGTCAACAAGAGTCAGTTGTGATAGAAAGGAAGCCAAACAGCTAAGGTCACAGAGCTCACTGATTGAAAATTTGCTAGCACTAATTCGCTTCTCAATTTCCTCAAATAGAAACTCATTTGAGCCAATAATTGCATTCACAGACTGGAAGGTACATTTGAAAAGGCAAAAAAGCGTCTCATTGCTCAAGGTCGTCACTTCCTTCTTTACGATCTCATAAAGCTCATTCATGACAGCTGTTTGGATAAAAGAATCGATGCCTTCTTCCTCATTTTGACTGTTTTGTAAATAGCAGATCTTCTGTAAAGCAAAAGCAGCTGTGTAACCTGTGATGACATCTGAAGGAACCTCAAGATGACAAAATACTTCTTTGACACTGCTACAGATATGAAGCTGTTCTCGGAATAATTTCTCATCTTTTGTCATTTTCTTCACTGATGGAACAAACTGGTTGTTCTCATGTGGAAAACAGCTTGGATCCAGTTTACGTATAAATATTGGAAGTTCTGTGAAATCAAGGCCATCCTGCAACAAGATGGACGATAGACTGAGGGTGCGATTTTTATAGTTTTTATTGGAATACTGTCGCTGGGTTTTGAGCAGATGCCCTTGTACCGGAAAGACTTGAAGGAATTTTCGGATTCCCCTGCAGAGAGGTCTTGAGGAAGCCTGCAGTGTTTTCTGTGCCATTAAAGTGAAATTCTGAAAGAAAAGATGAACCGAAATTAATCATTCTGTAAATATTTAATTGTGGCTTATGTCATAAGTTTGATAAGACAATCGTATTTACTCTGAAAATGTATACTTTGTATGTATAATGAGCCAGGTAATTGAGGACAAATATTTAAATATTCAAATGTAATCTTTCAGTAATAGATCAAATATTAAATGCATTGCTGAGGAAATGAAAGTATGTTTATCATATACGAGGGTTGATAAAAAAATTATCGAGATTAGTGCTATAAAAAGAAAACTTAATTTAATCTCCTTTAGTCCCATTCTAAAACCATACAATTTATCGAGTGCCGTTTCCATTGATGGAAGCATTTCTAGGCCTCCTTTTGCCTCGTCACATTCTCTTGGATTTCCTCAATGTCTTGAAATCTTGTTTCTTTCAGGAATTGATTTTTTGAAAGATAAAAAAAGTCATAAGGAGCAAGATCTGGGGAATGTGGTGGTTATCAGATCTGGGGAATGTTGTGCTTAGCCAAAAATTGCTGCACAAGCCATGGTCACTGATATAATCTGTGGTATGGTGAGACAACTACACACTAGACTCTTCTTTCAAGTCCTGCTATAAACAATCAAAGTGAGAAAGAACTTTATAATTTAGCGTGCATGTGTGATAGAATTCAAGATCAATCTGTTCCAAGAAACTTCACAGTTACCACAGCAACAGACTTAATACTTTTTGATTGGACTTCGTATGAGGCCAAACATTAAAAAAATTACCAAAGCAGATCAAGCACAGATTTCACACAAGCAGACGTAAATATACAATGTGATGTCTTAAAAATAAATGCTCCTTTCATGAGACTCCTTTATTATTTTCAAATCTCATCACCAATTTTAAAATTTAAAGTGCACTTCAGAGTTTTAGTTCTACAAGTGCGACCTGAAGTAAAAGAAATGTTGAGAAACACTGATATATACTGTTAGATATACGAGGTGCGCCAGGTAATTGAGAACATATAGTTAAAGTAAAACAAAGACACCCATTAAAAACTAATTAGTAAATTTTCAAAACAATTTGTACACATGTTCAACTTGGAAAAGCAGAAAAATTATTAGAATTTAAAAACCACAACTACAATATATCCCAGCTTCACATTCTTGCCTTTTTTCTAAACCTCATCCCAATTTTTTTTCCCTTGCTTTCAAATCTGGCTGTGGGGTAATTCATTTCACCCGTCGTTTATGCTGACTGGATTAAAGTGCTTGCTTTCTTTCCCAGTTCTCTGCTCTACCAACTGACCTGTTGCAAGTGACCTCTTCCTTATTCTCTTGTTAGTACGCAACGTACGCCATCACACCAACAACCCTTCCACCATCTTCCTCCCAGAATCGCTATTTATGCCTGCATGGGGGGTAGCAACTAAAATTTGCATGAGACTTACTTCTTGTTCGCCCAATACTTCTGATGTTATAAATTCAAGCTGGTTTGAATTCTTAGTATTTTTTTTTTCTTTCTTTGTATGCCTGTTCACGATATAGGAACTTTGGAATAATCCATTTCGCTTTTAATGCCGGTTGCGATCTTTCAACAAGACTTGACACACCAAGCAAATTCGCTTTACGGGAGGTAAGTCTTCTTGTTCCTCACACTGGCTCCCAAAGCCTTGTTCCTTATCAGATATAAGGATATATTTTCTGACCAACGAGAGAGCTGGCAAATATAAAAAGGAGTTTGAACATCATTATCTTGTCCTTGGTGCCATGAAGTCTGGGGGAGGCGCTCGCAGCTTGTCGGACCCTTGCCAACTCCCAAAACCTTGTTCTTATCAGAGATAAGAATATATTTTTTTAACGAATGAAAGGGGCTAGGAAATTTGTACAGCAATTCTGAAGGAAAAAAATCCCCGATATTTCTGAGCCTCTTGATCTCCTATTTGGAGTGAGCACTCGACAACCATCTGTGACATAGGTCGGCGGCAGAAAAGCAGTCATCTTCAAGAAAGAATTAGGCAGTCAAGAAAGAACATTGGCCCACTACTAAAAACCAATTGAGATCTGCCTCCTTGCACCTAGAAGATATCTGTTGCCATCTACAAAATTCATATCTTCTGACAATTTCTTCCAATACAAGAACTTTGAACAAATCTGTGAGTGTTTTAACCTTTAACAACAATCTGCTACTCGTTTAAAGAACTTTTTTAGACGCTCAGAAAAATATTTTGAGCAAGCCTCTTTTAAATGAACATTTTTTCTTCCTTTAAAGTTGAAGGAATTTTCTTCTCCCTTTTCCTTTCTCTTGTAGTTGTGTTTATCCCTTTACCCCCCACCTTTTATTTTTGTGCATGCATGTGAGCATTTTCTTACTTTATTGTTGCACATCAGTGAGAGTTTGGGTCTTTGTTCTTCCACCTGAAAGAGCTGCCTAAAAATGGAGAAATGCCTGCTCTAATCTTTCAAGCCATTATTGATTTTTTCAATTTTGTCACATTTTTAACCTCAACCCTTTCATGCAGGAAAGCCGAGACAAATTTCCCACAAAATGTTTATTCAGTAAGGCTGTTTTTTTTATATCTGATTATCATTTACACAATGGAAAATGTCAATAGGTTATTGGTGTTGTGGGGGTGGCTGGTTGGCTTCTTTTTCATAAGAACATATGCAATCCCCCCCCCCCCCACTCCAAACAGGGCTTGAACACTATTCAACATGTTCATATAAGCCAGTGGTTCTCAACTTTTTTTTTTTTTTTTTTTTTTACTCATGGATCACTTTTACTCGCGATTTTTTTTTTGGTGCCCAAACCCCAACAAAAATTTTAAAATTTTATTTTTTACTAATAGATAAGTTTAGGAATTGTATTAAAGAAATAGTAAATGTATATGCTTTATTTTGAAGTAAAACTAATTTAATGAAAATAGACTAAATTCTATGGTTCATTTATGTACACTAATAAAAAAAACAAAAAAAAAAAACAAAAAAAAAACAACCTCAAATACAAGGACCATCACAAATAATGTCAACTTTGTACCATGATACCTCTGTGGGGTCTGTACACGACCACGTCTTTCCTTCTGGTCACATGGCTATCTCAGAGTCTCTGCAGTTAATAACTCATGCTATAAACATGGTGTGTGCTTTTTCAGCAGTTATGTTTTTAAGTGAAATGAAAATGTCAAATTGATCTGAAAACTCTTTAGATGAAGATTTCTCATTTTTATACACTTTCCTTTTTATGCTAACAACATTTCGGCCATTGTACCCTCTGGCCATCTTCTGATATCTATCATACTCAGTATCCTTCACAGAATTTCAAACCAAACACTTTATTCAATTCCTGGAACTAGACTGTTCACATTCTTCTTCAGGGAATATTTTTATTTTATTCCTTTTAATCATTTCACTCTAAGTAAGGTAATAAAGCCACTAAGATAACAATTAACATTGCATTTAAATTTTTCAAGATCAAAGTTGACTGAAAAGAAATTTACTCTCATTTTTAGAGATAAGGAATGATAAAATTAATTAAATACCCACATACATACCATATTAAAACACACCCAAACTTTATTTTCTACCCAATAATATGCTAAAAAGATTCCATAATACAACACACTGTTTAAATCAAACTCTCTATTGGTTAGAAATTAACATCACCATGTCAAATATTTAACCAATCAGAGAAAACTAAAACCCTATTTTTCTGGAGCTTAATTTTTTATAAAAACCTACAGATTTCAACTTTCAAAGGGCAGAGAAGTGTTTGTCTCCAAGTGAAGAGAAGATGTGGCTACATAACTTTTTTCTTCTGGCAGCAGCATTTTGAAAGCAACATGCCAGTGACTTCAAATGAATCATCTCCAACAACAAAGATGGTCAATGAATCTTCAATAACAATAAAAATCTTTTTCCAACCACAGATTTTCTGTGGATCAATTATTTAAAAGTCTTTACTCTTTTCTAAACTACTACTTTTTCTGGGTTTCAACTACCCAAAGATTTTAACTCAACTAAAGGCTATTTTTAATACCTTTTTGATGCTTTCAAGTTCATGGACATATGCTTGTAAATGATTTTTATTTAACAAACATAGTCATGTTTTCTTTGCTTTTATTATTGTTTGGAATTTGGACAACCTCATATGTAATTTTCATTAGAGAAAAATTGAGTTGTTACTTTTAAAAGTTAAATGACATACATCCACTTGGTCGCGTAAAAAAACAATATATGAAAAAACAAAAGGCCTCAAACTCAAAAAACAAAGTTTTGTCATCAAAATGTTTAAGAGGAAAGATTAAATTTTGGTTTAAAAATCTTCATTTTTATTTTTTATTTATTTATTTTTACATCAGCGGCGGACCAAAGAAAGGTTACATTTTTTGGCGTTTTTTCCAGTGAAAAACACATTGATTTGGAAATTCTTGCAAAATTCAAATAATTGTCGGATTTTAATTAAACTTTCAGGACATAAAAATTCATTAAATTTTTTTGAATTTTTTTTTTTTAGAAAATCTTGGTAAAATATACATATATTTTTAAAATTTTTACATGTTACTACCCACTTAATTTCATGAAATTTAGAGAAATTAAATTTTTAAGGGGGGGATTTTTTTATTAGTTAAAAAAAATCAGGACTTTTTGGAGTAAGTAAATCATATATGAAGAACTTATGAAAATGAAACCGAACAATATTCTTAATCTTAATTCTACTAACTACAGTACAGTAGGAATAAAAAGTAAAAAAAAAAATTATTTTTTAAATAAAATTATAATTATTTGAATTTTGTAAGAAAAATATTCGCTGCTCATAAAGTTAAGTCATTTTTGGAAACTCATTCATTTTTTTTTTTTTTTTTTTTAGGTGTAGGAATTAAAAAGAAAAACAAATATAAGTTATACTTACGTAATTTAAACGAACAAAAATCGGAAAATTTCAGTTAAGAAATAATCTTAGAAATTTAAAGACTGGCTGTTTTTAGTAACTTTTTTCTAAATTTCTATTTTAACAATACGTTTTTTGTGTTTGTTGAATCAAGACACTCATTTACAGAATAATGTACACGACGAGAAAAAATGAATTCTACAAAATAGAAAAAAAGCCCCCAAAACTTACCATGGTGTTTATGATCAATCCACAACTCGAAGTTGGCCCTAGTTGATATTTTTGACCGAGAAATTTGTTCAAAAATAAAATAAAGTTTAACCCTTGTGATTATGTAAGATGCGATCAGTGTTGTTAAAGAAACTCATATCTGACCAACTTTAAGATGAGCAGTTGTTTGTTTATTTTTTGCTGGTTTTTTTGTTTTTCCGTCGCAACATTATCTTTTTTTTTTAAATTATTCACTCCAACACGACGACGTGAAAAAAAACAATAGCTTTTTTTTCACTCACTTTTTAGTCTAATGCCTTACATAAAAAGACAGGAGGAAATAAATAATTGTAGAGTTGTAATGTATCTTACTTAAAAGGTTCCAAACTGAAATATTTTACATAATTTTTACGGTATATAGCCAGAAATTGCAGCTTTCTAAAAAGGAGATGGCAACTTCACCTCGTCAATTGCATGGAACGTGACATCAAGGTCACTTCCGCCTAACAACACGTGCTTAACTTTCCATTTTTTTAATTTTTTTCCTGATTAACGTCGTAATAATAAATCTTTTTACAGATTCGGTCAAAGTTAAACTAAATGAATACTTTTTCTACGAAAAAGAAAAAATCTATATTTTGTTCTGCTTGTTATGAAAACAAACTTTATTCTTTTGAAAAATGGAAGTGATTTTTAAGTTAAAAATTTTGGGGACTTTATTCACGCTGGACTGAATGTCAAGGTCAGTAACTATTAAATAAAAATTAAAGAGTAGTGTCCCTTATTTATTTATTAGATAATTTAGGATTAATAATAGTCTTTTAAACTTAATATTATTAAAATTAAGAAGAAAAAGAAAAACATAATTTGAATAAATTTTAATGGATCCAAAGTACACAATAAAAAGTTGTTTTATTCATTTTAAGGACAATCTGTAAATGCAATTACATTCTGTGTCTTTTGAAACATTGTATCATAAATGAATAAATAATTTGGCCCAGGCTAGGAGAAAACAACCTTCTCTTTTGGTTGTTGTCCACAAACTGAAAAATGACTGCCATTTTGGTTACTGTATAGAGTGACATCACAAAGTGTCCATCATGTAACCCATCTCCACTAAAGGGAGATAAGCACCTTCTGTATCCTTACATGTTTAAAATGATATAAATAATTTAAGATGAAATCATTGCAGCCAACATTTACTGGATAATACCGCAACTTCAGCTCTCACCACCCAGACACTGTGTAGAAAGAAAGGGATTGTTCACTGCTTAAAACATTGAGCAAAAGTCATAAGTGGTGACCTAGAGACATATGAACAAGAAATAGTCAGTATAAGCATTACCCTATATTACAACATAACAATTACAATGGGTAGATGACAGCAGCTCCCACAAACTGGGATAACAATAAACAAAGATAACAGCACTCAGAAACAGCCTCGGTCTACCTACCCTATGTGAAAGGAATATCAGTAAAAATTACAAAAGATCTGTGGTCCATATAACATCAGGATGATCTTCAACTACCCAAAGACTTTAACACAACTAAAGATTATTTTGACTCCTTTTCGATTCTTTTGAATTCATTTACATATGTTTGTAAATACAAATGATTTATTTAACAGACATTGTTTTTATTCTTATTTTAATTGTTTGGAATTTGGACCTTTGGATTTTTAATATAAAGAACTTGGGTGAAAGAATTACTTACATAGGTGCCATATTGTTTTTTAAAAATTCAAAATGTAAGCCAAATTTTTCTGAAGGAAACATTGTCCATTTATTATTTTGATTATTGGCACAGGAAAACCCAATCCTATTCACAAATGAATGCTCACTTTAATTTCTGTCTGAAGTAACTCTCATGTCACAATTCTTTCAGGATAGAAGGAAATATGGCTTTCTATAAATTCCGGTCATTTTTTGCTTTAAGTAACTTTTGCTTCTTTGTTCTTGTTCTGCTATTCATTCCCTTAAACTCGTTAAATAGGTTACTCACTCCTTCCCCTTTGATTCTCTTAGCTTCAGTATAACGTATGAGTACCAAATTATCCTTTCCGCTATAGGATCAAGATCCTATATCATTCATAAAAACCACAAATCACTGGCTCCAGATTTAATAATACAACAACGCATTCTGATTGGCTGAAAAATATCAATTATGTGTCGTCAACTATGTCTAAACATACCAACAATAGTTTTGACTGGAGCAAAAATACATTTGCACCCAAAATTCTGGAGCCTACCACGTGATGCATATTGTGTATATTAATGACACAAAATTCAGAGGTGAAAAAATCTAACCTGGAGCTATACTGTACATGTCACTATTTTTCATTTCAGACTATATGCTAAAATTCTTTTAAAACTAAAACAATCTCCATCGCTCTTTCAACACAAGCCAACTAAAAGTCAACAAATATCAAAGAAAGACAACCCAGTTAAAACACAAAGTAAGTCTCCTTTATTCACACACAATTTTTGTAAACCTTTTAGTGTCCTACCTCAATTTAAAAATATTTTATTTCTGATCTGATTCCATTGGTTAAAAAAGATTCCAATACATTTCCTATGTAATAGCACTGAGATCGGCAAAAATCTGTGCAAAATGTGGGTAGCAGAGTTAAAATCCTACCTTACTATTTCTCTGACTCCTCATTGGTAAATCAATCCTAATATCATGTTTTCAACTATGTCCGAATTGTATCGACTTAGTTTTTGACCGGAAAAAAAATACAATTCCGCCAAAAATCTGTCTACATGTTTTGAGCATACCACGTGACCACGTTGGTAATAAATACGAGTGACATCTTCAACTCTTTCTTTTTTGCCTTCTCTCTCACACACAAGATTAGGGAGATTTTGTTTGACCATTTTGATACACGCACACACATGCACATATGTACGTATGAACATTGCACATCTCTGAACTAATCTTATTCACTCCTTAGACTACAAGCAACTGAAACTTATTCAACTTCTAACAATGAGATTTTCTTCAAACATGCCATCCAAGAGAATACAACTTTTGCCTCTTATCAATATTCATCAGTGAGAAATATTACTTCTAAATCTTCTGGAGCTTAAGTTACAATTCAACATACTAGTCTCAGCTTTTCAGAATTCTTTCACTCATATTCAACTTTCTTATGTGAACAACAATTTAAGCAGCAAGTTAATTCAATTTTTTGATATTCAAGTGAAGATTACATTTTCCCTCAATCCACAAGTTTCTTTGAACTCATCTTAAACCAAATTTTAGCCAACAACATCTTCTTATTGAAGAACATTCTTTCCATTGAAACTTACTATTATTTCATGAACTGAAATCTTTTCTGTGAGTCCAGATAAAAAAGTTTATCTTCCTTAAAGTCTTAGCTAATTTAAATAACAGTTAAAGGGAAATAACTTCTGCTGTATTATTACAACTCTTACTGCATAAAAATCACACACTTGATTGCTTTGTATTTTACAGTTAAATAAAGATTGTTTGTTGTTATAGAAACAGTTTTGTGTTGTTTCTCTTGTTTGTTTTTTGTTTGTAAAGTAAAAAACTGTACGCCTTGATTTAGGCCATCAATAAAGCTACAACTTCAAGCTATTTAATTTCAACAAAGACCAAATTATACTGTATAGTAATTATACTATCTCATGTTCACACACGTTATTCCACAACTCAAGATTTATATAATCAGAACATTACTAAAACTCAAAACCATACATACGAAAACATTTGAATGTTTTAAACAAATTTTTCAGCAAATGTTAGTACCCTTTGTTATATAAAAAATTCTATTTATTGTTATGCAAACACTTGAATATTATTGTTCTCTTGTCGGTCATTATTTTGTTACATTTGCGATAATATAAATGTTTAAGGATTATTAAACCCCTATGGATTAGTAACCCCTATGGATTAGTAACCCCTATGGATTAGTAACCCCTACACCACTTTTTCTTCATGAATCCCAGAAATTTAATCTTTTTCTCATTGTTTCTTTGCTCTTTCTACTTTCCTTAAACCTTTCTTGTTTCTCACATATTGTCTCCATAGTATTTTCAGTTGACAAAAATGCTGATAAATTAGCAAGATGCAGAAAAAATGATCAGTTCCTTGTACCACTCCAGTAAGTATCTGACTTCTCATGCCATCCCCTACCTTTATAAGAGCTAGATCAGGCCGAAAATGGAGTCCTGTTTGGCAGGAGTTGTCCAGTCCTCACTTTCCAGTCTCAATAGAGTTCAAAAGTGTCTCTGAGTCCTTGTGGGTGACAAATTATTTTCCACCCTCCAACCTCTCTCTCTCTCTCTCTCTCTCTCTCTCTCTCTCTCTTACAGGTGGGATGTGACAAGCCTCTCACTGCTCTATCACTACATCCATGGAAAGTTCTCAAACGAATTATATTCCTTGTAGCAAATCAACGACATTCCCTTTGTATTCCATCAGTGAGAAGTAAATTCCACTCAAACAGCGTCTTCCTGCAAAATGCAGCTCTGAGGATGTTTTCCTGATCACTACAATCTTAATCAGTTCAAGTCAAGAGTTAACCATTATCTTCCTCTCCTATCCATATAAACTACCTCTTAATGTAACCCTCTACCTCGAGTGGCTCCCGGGCCTTGTACAGAGTGAACCTTACTATAAAAAAAAAGAGTACTAAATTCTTCATGATCTCTTTCCTCATGGATCCCAGAAATTTCATCTCTTTCTCATGACTCTTCCTATTTATCTTAAACCTTGCTCATTTCTCACATGTTCTATCCATGGTATTCTTGGCATTTGTCAGTAGAATCACATTTCGGTCACTTCAAGCCTCTTTTTCATCTATGCAAAGTTTGTCCAGTATTAACTGCCATATAGGAAATGAGATATTACATAATAGTACAGCACTTTTCTTTGTTTTGTTACTCTTAATAGTTAGTTTAGTTTCAGAAAGGTAGATTTCACAATACTTATGCCCATTTAGATTTTTGTGTAACTTTTTATGTCATCTGTTAGTACACTATCTAGGGAGTTAAATT